CTCAAGAAATCACTCATGGTATTAAAAAACCCAATGAAGGTGACAATGTAGTAATTAAACTAGACATGACCAAGGCATACGATAGAGTGTCTTGGTCTTATACTTGTCTAGTTCTGAGAAGAATGAGTTTTGGAGAAATGTTTATTGATCTAGTATGGAGAACTATGAGCAACAATTAGTATTCTGTGATAATTAATGGTGTTAGACATGTCTTCTTTCATTCCACCAGAGGGCTCAAGCAGGGGGATCCACTATCCCCATCCCTATTTATTTTAGGAGCTGAGATACTCTCTAGGATGCTCAATATGCTTCATCATCATCAGAGGTATAAAAACTTTCAAATGGAGATCAGGGGACCTCAAATTAATCACCTAAGTTTTGCAGACGACATTATCATTTTCTCCTCCACTACCAGGGATACTTTCCAGATGATCATGAAGACTCTTTCCACTTATGAAACAGTATCTGGCCACTTACAAACAAGGAAAAAAGTCATTTCATGAAGCGAGCTATAGCTGATTTCTTTTGGGGCTGGGATAAGGAAAAAAGGAAATATCATTGGGCTTCTTGGGATAAATTGAGTCTACCTTATGATGAAGGAGGTATTGGAGTAAGAAAACTTGAAGATATATGCACCTCTCTTCAATTCAAGCAATGGTGGATTTTCAGAAGTAAACAAACCTTATGGGGGTAGTTTCTGGGGGCTAAATACTGCCAAAGGGCTCACCCTGTGGCCAAAAAGCTTGATACAGGACAATCCTTGGTTTGGAACTTTATGATGAAAAATAAAGGTATTGCCGAGGCTCAAATCAAATGGAAGATCAATTCGGGTAATAGTTTGGTGGGATGATTGGTTGGGATTCGTCTCCTAGCCTCTTATTGTACTCATATTACTAGTCTTAACACCACCACAGTCTCTCAATTTCTGGTAGGTGGGACATGGAATGAGACTATGGTGAGGCAATGGGTGTCCCCTCTTTTGATTCCAAAAATCTTGAGTTTCCCCATTCATTATCAAGAACAGATCCCTGATGAGGCAATCTGGAAACTCACTATTAATGGCCTATTTTCTTGTTCATCAGCTTGGGAACTTATTAGACATAAAGGCACCAAGAGCATCATCAACAAAGGCATCTGGCATAGACACCTTCCTTTCAAGATTTCATTCCTAGTTTGGAGGGCCTTGAGGAACAAACTTCCCACTAACAAGAAACTTACCAGCTTTGGAAAGGAAGTTGTTCACTGCTCCTGCTGCTACAGAACTAGAGAAGACAATATGGATCACATATTTATATCTAGCCACTTTGCCAACAATATATGGAGTTTTTTCTCTGCAGCTGCAGGTATACAGCATGATCACATCCTTATTAACATGCTGCTGCTGCGATGGTAGAGATAGGAACACAAAAGTGAAGTACAGAACTTGCTGAATCAATTACTTTCTTTGATCATTATCTAGAACTTATGGAAAAATAGGTGTGCTGTAAAATATGGTGCAAAATAGTCCAATACAGCTCGAGTAAATTTTTTAATTATTAAAGACACTACTCATCTTCTCAACACAGCATTTCCTTACATCCAATGGGCCAATGATTGGACTGATTTATACAGAATGGTGGAGAAGTGCAGGCAGGAGACTATGGTTAGAATTGTGAAATGGGAGAAACCTAACCAAACTTTGCTTAGACTTAATACGGATGGTAGTGCACTCAGTAATCCTGGAAAGATTGGTGAAGGGGGAATCTTGAGAGACCATCTGGGGAGGATGATTTATGCATTTGCTATACCTTTAGGAACTGGTACCAACAACCAAGTTGAGCTCCAAGCTGCTAGCCATGGTATCTTCTGGTGCATCCAACATGGCTATAAGAAAATACACCTGGAAGTCGACTCTGAACTGGTCATTAAATGGCTTTCAAAACAGCTCATGCTCCCTTGGAATCTACATCAATACATCACGGAGCTACAACTCCTAGTCCAACAATTGGAGCAATTCAAATGCACACACACCTACAGAGAGGCAAACAACATGGCTGACCATCTATCCAAATTCAGCCATACTTTAGATATCATCCACCAGTTTTACATCAAGGAACAACTTCCTACTTTATCAAAAGGAAGTTTCATTCTGGAAAAACTTGACATGCCAACCTTCAGAAGAAAGAGACTGAAACGAATCAAGAGACCTCCCTGATTTTGAATCTACTCCTTTGAATTTCTTGCCTAGGTTTTACTTTTCTAGGTTTGTATTTTTGTCTTACTTTTTGTAAGGGGAGAGTCTCCCTTGTTTTATCATTGTCTTACTTATGTAAGGGGAGAGTCTCCCTTATTTATGTTTCTTAGTCTTTTTGTATCGAGAGGAGTCCTCTCCTTTTAGGTGCGTAGATACTAGGTTTCATCTTTCTAGTATGGGGAAAAGTGGACCTTCCTTAGTAGGAAGGACTACTACGAACCACCATAAGACCGGAGGTAAGGTTTATTGCCCTCTCCTTGTACTTTGTCTATTTTATTTATGCTAAGGCCTGGGGGTGTTGCTATGCCCCTGACCCCCCCAAGGGTCAATAAAAGAAAAAAAAAAACTCAAAATCCTAAATCGTAAACACTAAACCCTAAACTCTAAACCCTAAACCCTAAACCCTAAACCATAAAAACCTAAACCCTAACACTAAACCCTAAATCCTAAATCCTAAATCCTAAAACCTAAACCCTAAACCCTAAACCCTAATCCCTAATCCCTAAACCCTAAACCCTAAACCCTAAATCCGATCGCTTCCTCATTTCTCTAATTTTTTCTCTCTCTAAAAATCGCACTCTAAAAATTCTCTCAACAAGCGGGTTAAGCAGCAGCTCACCGGAATGGCGCGTGAGCCGCCGGTGGACACCTTCAAGCCGCCAGACCAGTCCCAATAGGGGCGCCATGAGTAGACGAACAAAACCCACCAAGAATCGCAGTCTAATTCATCCTACAACTCCTCAAAATCGTGACACAATGAAGCGATGAACATCGCGATTTCAGAAAGGGAGCTGGAAGGGATTCAAAAAATTATTTCCTCAAAACGCGATATGGTGATTCAGAAAATGTTGTTTAGTGGGAATGATTACACCAATCAAGATCTACAACATACTAAAAAATCAGGTGATGACACCTTGTCAATCGTGAGAACGGAGGAGGCAATTTTTGAGAAAATCGCCGCACCATCGGCAGAATTGCGCCCTCAATTTTGATCATCTTCTCGACAATTTCGTGGTGATTGGAGCACTAGGGATTACTCAGCAGTGATGAGGTACATCTCACTGAAATCTCAAGTATAATGGACGGTCCAATCACCGGCGACAAGAAAGCAGATGATCGCACCGCCGGAAAAACTAAAGGTGACGGCGGCGATGCTAAAGGGCATTATTCTTCGGAGGAAGAGATCCATCTTACCAACATATCCATCAACTCAGGCCAAGAATATATCCAAAAGGACATTCAAGCAAGTTTAGAGAGAATGACATTCACTCAACAAGTTGAGATTAAAGAGGCCACCTACAGAGCTGAAGCTAATCAGCAAGGTAACTATGTCCAAGATCATGCAGGTGTTAATGGTCAAAAACAGGGCCAACATACCACTGATGAACACAACATGGAAAGTCAATCCAAACAGGGAGATAAACGACTATGGAAAGAACAAAATGATCAACATGAGAGTACAAAGGCAACAACATTGGAAGTAATAGTTGTTGAGAGTTCTTCACACTTCCCCTTTGGGGTCAAGCCACCGGATACAAGGCCAAACAATGGAAGACAGCAGAGACCAGGTAAGGAAATCATTTCTGCTAATGAATTTGAATATGTTAATATGCAGGAACACCAGGCAATAGACAACAAGTCGCAAAGTAAAAATCTAAGTAAGGATGACAATCAAACAGGTAAGTCTACTAACTCTACCTCTAGTCGTAGTGCATCTAACCTAAGTAACGTTGATGATAATGCGCATGTTAATGCACGAGGGCAAAAAAGTGTTAATTTGAATGATCAGACATAGGGCAAAGGGGACACTAAATCCCAACAACAAATCGATCGAAACCAAAGTAGTGGGGCAACTAAGAGTCAACCTCAAGTACCTAATCATGGAGGGAATTGTGAAACCAATAGTTACCACAAGGAATTCCCTAAGATCTCCAGCAACTTTGATAAACATACCATCCTTAATCCGAAAGGCCAGCAGACAAATCATCCTCAGCAGTCCAAAGGTCCCAATCCTAATGAAAATAAAAGCACCAAACAGGACCAGATTGCAGAACCTGGTCCTTACACAGTGGTGCAAACACTGGCTGCAAGATTAAGGCAAATCCATGCAACACAAGTAAACTCTATAGAATTGGTCCCTCCCAAACATACAACTAAGCAGGGCCAACCAGCTGTTATTTATGCTATGGATGACTTTATGAATAAATTAACTATAGATTGTAAATATACCTTGATACGTAAATTCAGTACCATCGTGCTGAAAATAAAACTCATGAGGAAATGCTTTGTTGTGCAAACTCAACTGAACGGGGGAGTAAACATAGCTCACTATAATGCTAAGCATGTGTTTATTGACTTGGAGAATGAACTGGATTACAACACTGTGTGGATGCAACAAAGAATGACCATTGAGGGCAAACTTATGCGAATACAAGCTTGGACTCCCAATTTTCGCCCTGAAGAAGAAACACCAATTGTCCCTATATGGGTTCTGCTACTAGGACTGCCATGGCACTGCTTCAAGAAAGAATTTATCACACCTCTTCTAGAGTCTGTGGGCAAAGTTTTATATCTAGACACAATATCTATTAAGAGAACTAGAGATAGTATGGCTAAGGTAAAAGTTCAAGTGAATCTTACCAAGACAAGACTTAGACATGTTTGGATTGGTTTAGATGAAGAGGACCTCACTACAGGCAGATGGTAATCGATTGAATATGAAAATATTCCTCCTTACTGTGTATATTGCAGACATCAGGGCCACACGATGGATGAATATAATTTCAAAATAAGGGATGAGGAATTCAAAAGGAGGAAAGAGTTAGAAACAGAAAAGCAAAGCAGAGGTAAAATTGAACATGGTCAACAAGAAAATGATAGTAAACAAACCAAGACAAAGGAACAGGAGGAACAACAACAACAAAACAGCAAGGAAAGGGACAATCAACATCAACATGTGCAGCAAAAGGAAGAGGAATGGCAAGTACAACACAGGAAAAACAATAAATAGCAGGAAGAATGAATACAAAAAATAGTGTGGAAACCAACTTCAGCACAACATAGAGTAACAAAAGAGCAATCACAGAACACAGCTCACCAAACAGGTACTACTAACACATCTAATTATAACTCTTTCACTAACCTTAACATGCAATAAAAACAAAATTCAGACATGCATGAGCCTAATAATGACGAAAGGATGTCGACACAAGGAGTACAAAACATATCTAAAGGAGAACATAACCAAAAACCACAGGCCATGCAAACAGGAAACAAAGCTAATAGCAAGAACAAAGGTATTGACTCAATGCTCCCAATTCCCATCAACCCCAATACTTTATTTCCTAATGGTATTGCTGAAGTTGAAGGAGGGATGGATGGGGGATGTCAGGAGAGCCACACTAACCTACAGGAAAAGCGGTCCAAGGGGGGGAATTTGACTCATATTATGCATGAGGGTACACACTTTGACCATAGTCCTGACCTTAGATCTCTTGCTACCACTATAGTCTAGCATCCTACTTCAGACCACTAACAGGTACAACAGCAAGCACACTCAGGGGCAAGAAAGCTGATTAATATTGAAAATAACAAGGAAAAACAACAAGTGGAAGCAGGAATTACAGATAAACAGAACAAAGGAGCCATGGCCAAAGATATGGGAGCCAAAACAAGCACTAGCATCCAAGGAAACACTCCCAAAAGCAAGAACAAACCTAGTAAGAAAAAGAGAGAGGATGCAAGAAAGAGACAGAGCATACAACATGACAATGATCACAAGGGGGAACAACAAAAAGAAGGGGAAGTTTGCAAGAAGTTTATTATGGTTGATGAGCAGTTGGGCATGGATATCACTCCTCTACAAACCCAATATATGAATCCTCCACCTACTGTCTCTCCAGATGGTAGGTCTGAAAAGTGTCAAATGAATAAAGGTCCTATAATTGATGAATATGTTTTTGTTAACTTAGAGGATAAACATAATGTGGATAATCAGTCCCTCAAAGATCTTGATGACGATGATGAGACTAGTGAGATAATTATTAGAGCTTTTAGTCCTCATCCGGAAAGAAAAACCTTGCAGACGAAATTCAGCAGGTGGCTAATAGTCAGGGATTATCCCCTAGAGGATTACACCATGATAGATTCAAATTCAAGACTCAGGATATCAACACTGTCACTGCTGGCAAACCAAACACTAGGCTGTTTACTTCCCGATCATCTCAATGACGAGTACAATTATTTGGAATGTGAGGGGGATGAACACCCAAGGTGTAATCGAAAGACTAAAAATGCTCAACAAGATGCATCAACTCTTTATCATTGCCATCATGGAACCTTTCTTAGACATTACTCATAGTCAAAGTTTTAAAAACCAATTAGCTATGGAGCATGCTGTGAGTAATTGCAATGGTAAAATCGGACTTTTTTGGAACATAAACATTGATTGTGTAATACTAGAGGAGGATGAGCAACAAATTACCTGCGACTTTGGCCATAATGAACTTCAGAATCACTTCATCACCACATTTGTGTATGCCAAGTGTAAAGATCATCTCAGAAGGCCTTTATGGGATAGAATGCTATACCATTCTGCAGATATTGATAGACATTGGTGTTCTGTGAGAGACTACAATTTTATTACTTCTATTGAAGAAAAGCTGGGAGGGGTTCCATACAACATGAGAAAAAGTTTAGAATTCATTGTTGTTATTGAGGCTTGTGGTCTTATGGATTTAGGCTACAGTGGACATATATTTACTTGGTCCAACAATAGGGGTATACAACAGAGAGTATGGAAAAGGCTGGACAGAGCTCTAGTTACGGATGCATGGCTGGAAAAGATGCCTCAGACTACTATCACCCACTTACCTTCTGTAGGGTCTAATCATTGCCCCCTACTGCTGGAAATGAGTGCTAGGGAAGATGATCATATCAAATATTTTAAATTTCTTAATTGTTGGACTGACCAACCTAATTTCCTTGACATAGTTAAAGCCTGTTGGGAAAGGAATGTAGAGGGTAACAACATGTGGAAATTTCACCAGAAATTTAAAAGGTTGTCCAACACTCTTAGCAACTGGTCCAGAAAGGAATTTGGGGACATTTTTATTAAACTCAAGGAATATGAGGAGAAGGTCAAAACAGTGGAGGAGCAACTGATTCAAGACCACAGTGAGACTAACAGAACTATGAACTCAATGTTAAGTATATCAGATTCTTGAAGATAGAAGACTCCCTTTCAAAACAAAAAACTTAATTATAGTGGTTCAAAGAGGGTGATTGCAAAACAAAGTATTTCCACTCATTGATAAGGGGAAGAATAAGAAGGTTATTTATTCACAAGCTTATCAGGGAGGATGGGGAATGGATACAGGGAGATGATGTTATAGCTGAAGCTGCCTGTGACCATTTCCAGAAAATATTTACAGGAGATAACAAATTCATCAATGAGGGGTCCCTGGATTGTATACCTCGGATGATCAATCAGGAATAAAATGATAGTCTTACTGCCATGCCTAATCTGAAAGAGTTGAAGGAAGTAGTATTCTCTATGAATCCTAATTCTGCAGCTGGTCCAGATAGGATGAATGGATACTTTTTTCAGAAATGTTGGCACATTATCAAGCAGGATCTACTTGGTGTCATTCACGCATTCTTTTATGGTCAAATTATTCCCAAATATTTCTCTCATTCTTGCATTGTTCTTCTCCCTAATGTGAAAAATCCCAACAAACTATCTGAATTCAGGCCCATCAGTCTAAGCAACTTCACTAGCAAGATCATATCTAAACTAGTAAGTTCTAGACTTAGTCCTATTTTACCTAATTTGGTTTCTGTCAATCAATTTGGGTTTGTCAAAGGGAGAAGTATTTCAGAAAACATTATGCTCGCTCAGGAGATTATTCATCAAATTAAGAAACCTAATATTGGGAGCAATGTTATTATTAAATTGGACATGGCTAAAGCATATGATAGGGTTTCTTGGTCTTACATATGTTTGGTGCTGAGAAGAATGGGGTTTGATGAAGTCCTTATTGATATGGTTTGGAGGATCATGGCTAACAATAAGTACTCTATTATCGTCAATGGCAAAAGACATGGTTTCTTTCAATCCACTAGAGGTCTCAAGCAAGCCGATCCGTTATCTCCTACCCTATTTATTTTAGGTGCAGAAGTACTTTCCAGATCTCTGAACAGGCTTCACAACAACCCTGAGTATCATGGATTCTTCATGGAACCTAGAGGCCCCCAAGTGAACCACTTAAGTTTTGCGGATGACATTATTCTCTTCACTTCTGGAAGACAGAAAACCCTGAAGCTCATCATGCAGACTATGAAATCCTATGAGCAGTCCTCAGGCCAATTAGTTCGCATAGATAAAAGCCACTTCATGGTTCATTCGTGTGCATTCACCACTACAAGGGACAGAATGAAGAGAGTCACTGTCTTCAAGCAGAAAGAGGGCCCTATCAGGTACCTTGGTGGTGATAACAACAAGGTTAAGGAGATCACAAATAGATAATTGAATATTAGAATGCGGAAGCACAAAGAAAATAAACAAAAAAAACTAACTAAAGATATGGGAAATTCGAAGGAAAGATCCACGAATTTCCAAGGATTAGATGTTCTAAGGTCTTGAAATGATCCAAGTAACAACGTATAGATATATGGAAGAAATCTAATGCCTTTACTTGAGAAAACGAATCAAAATGATAGATTCGGATCTTGACCGCTTTATGAGTAACTAAAGACAATAATTAGTACGTAGAAACTAATCACCTTCTAAAGAATACCAAAAAGAACCCAAATATATCACAAGAAGAAGTTACTTTATACCTTAAACTATGAAACTAGTAAAGGTTTAATGATAAACTCTCAAAGAACAAGTCACAAAGGTTCAAAGAACTCTCTCAAATATTATTAATATCAATGAAAATTGTCTTTAATGAATGAAAAGGACTCCTATATATAGGAGAAGGGGGTAGCATGTCCAAGACCCCTTATAAGAAGCTAAAAAGGTTAGCCAAGCCCTAGAAAGACAATTACAAGGAATCCTACTCTAGAAAGGAAATAAAGTAACCTAACTAGGAACAAATTTAGTACTTCTAGGAAAGAATTAAATGGTAATTAGGAGACCATAAATAGACTAAGGAAAATATTAATAACCTATATATAAATAAAGAAATAAGGTAAATCCCAACTAGGAAAAGAATCTTGACAATCTTGGAAAGTTTGACTAGTCTTCTCTCAAAACTTGGGCAGAAAGCAACTCTTGTTGTGGCTGATTCTTGTATTCTTCCTGACCTTATTTGCACGAAATTGGACCATAAAATTCCTCATCTTGGGCTTGAATTTGGGCCAGCAAATAGTTGTAGCATTTGGACAATTCCTCTCCCTTGGGCAAGGCTCCTCTTCCCCAATAAGACACCTTTGGATCAGCGATCGAAGTCCATTGAGCGTATCATTGAACTCCTTGGTTTGAGATCTTGTTATGGGCCTCCTTGGAGTTTCTAAAGCTTCATCCTTGTCCTTCAATGGAGTAGATCTTCCTTGGATGCTATCATTCTCCTCTTCTTGAAGAGAATTTGTCCTCAAATTCAAATCTGCATCAAAATGGGAAAGATCAGAAACATTAAAAGTAGCACTAACTTGGAACTCACCAGGAAGATCAAGTTTATAAGCATTGTCTCCAATCCTTTCAAGGACTTTGTATGGCCCACTTCCTCTAGGATCTAGTTTGGTCTTTCTTTTGGAAGGAAATCTTTCCTTTCTCATATGCACCTAAACCAAGTCACTAGGTTTAAAAATAACATATTTTCTGCCCTTATTCCTTCGCAATGCAACTTCCTTATTCTTCTTTTCAATTGCAAGCCTTGTTTGTTCATGAATTTTATTTATCCTATCAGCCTTCTTCTTACCATCAAGATTAGCAAAATCATTAGTAGGCAAAGGCAATAAATCAAGGGGGGTAAGGGGGTTGAATCCATATACAACTTCAAAAGGAGTCTTACCGGTAGAAGAATGGAAGGTCCTATTATAAGCAAATTCTACAATAGGTAAGTAATCTTCCAAAGAAGTCAACTTTCCTTTCAAAATAGCCCTCAACATGTTCCCTAAAGTTCAATTAACCAATTCCGTTTGCCCGTCCGTCTGTGGGTGACAAGATGTAGAAAATAGCAATTTAGTTCCCAACTTTCCCCAAAGAATTCTCCAAAAGTGACTTAAGAACTTGGCATCCCTATCACTAACAATAGCACTAGGTATTCCATGCAATTTAACTACTTTCTTTACAAACAAGTCGGCCACATGAGATGCATCATTAGTCTATTTACATGGGATATAACGAGCCATTTTAGAAAATCTATATACTACCACAAATATACTATCCTTACCATACTTAGTCCTTGGCAGCCCCAATATGAAATCCATAGAAATATCAATCCAAGGGGAATTAGAAACATGTAAAGGAGTATAAAGACCATGCGGCAATGTTCTAGACTTAGCCTGTTTATATTCAAGACAATAAGAACACACTTTTTCAACGTCCTTTCTCATGCTAGGCCAATAAAAATGTTTAGAAAGTATTTCCAGTGTTTTGGGTACGCCAAAATGTCCCATTAGCCCTCCACAATGTGCTTCCCTAACAAATGGTTCACGCAACGAGCAGTTAGGAACACATAATTTATTTTCCTTGAATAGAAATTCATCTTGAAGATTAAATTTCTCAAAAGGACCTAACTTACATACAACAAAAATCTCACCAAAATCAGAATAATTAGCATAGAGGAACTTGATTTGGTCAAAACCCAACAACTTTGAAGTAAGAGTAGAGATCAAAACCTACCTTCTTGAGAGTGCATCAGCAGCCGCATTCTCCTTTCTTGTTTGTAAGCAATTATATAAGGAAAAGTTTCAATAAACTCTACCCATTTAGCATGCCTACGACTAAGTTTACCTAGGTTCTTCAAGTATTTTAATGACTCATGACCAGTCTTGACCACAATTCTCGAGGCCACAAGTAGTGTGCCATGTAGCTAACGCCCTTACCAAGGCATATAGCTCCTTATCATAAGTTGAGTAGTTCAATGTTGCTCCACTTAGCTTTTCACTAAAGTAGGCAATTGGCTTGGAGTCTTGCATCAAAACTGAACCTATGCCCTTACTAGAGGCATCACATTCAACTTCAAAAGACTTAGAAAATTCAGGCAATTGCAAAAGAGGAGCAGAACACAATTTATCCTTCAGCAAGTTAAATGCATCATCTTGTTCCTTTCCCCATGTAAAAACTTATCTTTTTTAATAACTTCAGTTAAAGGAGCAGCAATAGTGCTAAAGTCTCGCACAAACCTCCTATAA